CCTTCCTCATTGCTGTTGGCTGACCCAACAGAGCCATCTGGCATCAGTCCCCTCTGGAAAGTTTGCCTGAAACCTCAGAACAAATATTTCCCTCAGTAAGAAACCCAAACTTTCTTGCTCACTTGCATCTTAATGCAATTATTTTAAGATTTATTTTATTCATTTGAAAGGCAGAGTGACAGAGAGAGAGAGAGAGTTCTTCCATCCACTGGTTCACTCCCCAAATGGATCCTCAGAGCTGGGCCAGGAATGACATCCTGGTCTCCCACATGAGTGGCAGGAGCCCAGGAACATAGGCCATCGCCTGTTGCTTTCCCAGGTGCCTGAGCAGGAAGCTGAATTGCAATGGGAACATCCAGGACTCGAACTGGCACTCTGATATGGGATGCCAGCATTGCAGGTGGCGGCTTTATCTGCTGCACCATGGCGCTGGCCCCAAACCAAACTCTCTCTTGCCACTTGGTTGAGGATGGGCAGAAAACACCCACAAGCCCACCTTAGCCCTCCAAAGCCCCAGTCAAGTTGCCCTCCTAGATTGAAACATTAACTCTTCACTGTGTCATTCATCCTGAAGCCCCGCCTCGTTTCACAGCTACAGCCAATGGCGAGCCCCCTCCAGCCTACACCCACACTTTGGGAACCACGACATAAACTGACCTCCGAAGCTTCTTCTAGGCTTGAGATGCACATTCTACATTACTCCATCATCACATCAGCAAACCAAGAGCAAGAGAAACCTGACCGTCTCGCTCCCGCATCAGTGGAACTGTCTCGTGTGTTCGTGTTTTCTGCGCCCGTCTTACCTTACCTAGTTCCTGCAGCACCCTTCACCATGCCACACGCAGTAGGCAATGAATCTCTCAGGTGGCATGACACAGCCAGGACTAAGGAAGGGAGCTCAACACCGCAGAGCATGGCGAAGCCAGCGACTGACGCCATCCAGAATCACTCAGCAGGGAGCCCTACCTGCCCTGCCAGGAAAATAAATGATCAGAAACTGCTCCCATTGGCCGGCGCCGCGGCTCACTAGGCTAATCCTCCACCTTGCGGCGCCGGCACACAGGGTTCTAGTCCCGGTCGGGGCACCGGATTCTGTCCCGGTTGCCCCTCTTCCAGGCCAGCTCTCTGCTGTGGCCAGGGAGTGCAGTGGAGGATGGCCCAAGTGCTTGGGCCCTGCACCCCATGGGAGACCAGGAGAAGTACCTGGCTCCTGCCATTGGATCAGCGTGGTGCGCCGGCCGCGGTGGCCATTGGAGGGTGAACCAACGGCAAAGGAAGACCTTTCTCTCTGTCTCACTGTCCACTCTGCCTGTCAAAAGAAAAGAAAAGAAAAGAAAAGAAAAGAAAAGAAAAGAAAAGAAAAGAAAAGAAAAGAAAAGAAAAGAAAAGAAAAGAAAAGAGAAACTGCTCCCACGTGGCCACCTGCAGCCCACTGGCCACCCATGGTCTTCCTAGCTTTCCCATGAGGGAAGCAGAATTCCTTTGATAGCTGCTTGAATCAAATACACCTGATTCTTTTCAGACTACCAGCTATTTGCCACCTCATGTGGTTTTGGTATTTCCCTCACTGGAGCCTTTGGAGTTTAAATACACAGTGTCTGCTGCCATCTGGTGGTCATCTCTGGGAGTTGCCAGCATCAAATAGCACAGCTCGTAGGAGCGTGTTTTTAAGTGGCTGGGTAACCCTTAATCTTTATTATAGCCCTGGATACCCGAATGATAACTGAGTTTCTAGAAAATGCTCCAACTGTCACTTAAAATTCTGAGTTGTGGCAAATAGTGCTGTCAAAAATTAAGAGCTAGCGTCAGAAATGGGCTAAATACCCCCATCCTGGTATTTGATGTATTTGATCGATCGATTATGGGACTTTTTTAAACCTTAATTTCCTCTTGCATGAAATGTGGATATTGGTGGTACCATTTTCCAGTACCATTATGAGGACCCCATGAAATAATGCACACGGGTGCTGGAAACAATGCCTGGTCCCTGGCAATAAGCCCTCCACACATCCCAGCTGATGGTGACGCTGTCAGTGAAGTAAATCTGTTGTTCATAACTCCAGGTCCACCCCAGATCAATCAAACCAGGATTCCCAGATTCGCAGGGGTGCTCTCCGGAGATCCCATTCAATGGATCCCAGAGAATGGAGGACCCTGAACAGTATCAGGCATCAGGTCTGAAAGGGTCCCCAGGTGACTGTAAAAACACCATCACAGAAAAGTCTGTGCTCATCTGGAGGTCAGCGTCGACCCCACACTTCCAGTCCGCCTGGAGCATCCACAGGGCATTTGCTGTGGATGAAGTACAGGGGGGTGAGGAAAATATGAAGGTGGCCCCTGCTCCATGAATGATGACCCCGATGGGAGGTGACGTGGCAGCGGGCAGCGGGGGGCACCTCGGGGTGGGGGGGACGGGGAAGGAGGGAGGCAGAGAGACCAGGAGGAGCAGGTTTTGTCTTCAGGGCCAGTGTGTCGAAGAGAGAGCAATGCAAAGAGGCAGGCTAACCCCTGCCCCACCGGCTCCTCCACCCCCAGCACACACACACACACACACAGTCTCGGGCACGCCTTGGTTGTGAGGCATCCAGCAGGCCTGGCCCCACCTCCCCCGTTCTGGCCAATGTTGATTCAGCAATGCACCCACACCCCAATATTGAGGTTATTTTTAAACTTAGGTAAATGAGCCATAATAACAGGGGGTGTTATTTTAGAATTTTAATCCTTTTTTTTTTTTTTTTTGACTCTACTTTTTAGCATCCTTGCCATCTTGCACTGCATTTTGCTTAGGCACTCAAAGCCGTGGCTCCCACTTCAATAGTGGTGGCAATGATGACGGCAGCTATGCAGGCTGAGCCCTGGCTTCTGGGTGCTGAAGGAGCTAAAGGGCAGATCAGTGCGTGGCCAGCAGCCAGAGATGATCGCACATCACACTCCAAGTTCCTTCCAGTCACACACGTATGTGCCTGTGTGTACATGTGCGCTCTCCTGGCTCACGTAGCATTTGATAGATAAGTAGAAAGAGATCAAGGTTGATATTAAACATCCATCCATGACATACTAAAGTGGAAAAAATCCAAGTGTCACAAAACAGAGGCCACTCAAATAATAAATTTAGGCTTTTTTTTAAAGATTTATTTATTTGAAAGTCAAGGTTACACAGAGAGAGGAGAGGCAGAGAGAGAGAGAGGTCTTTCATCCACTGGTTCACTCCCAGTTGGGTGCAATGGCAGGAGCTTCTTCCAGGTCCCCCACGCAGGTGCAGGGTCCCAAGAACGTGGGCCATCTTCTACTGCTTTCCCAGGCCACAGCAGAGAGCTGGATCGGAAGTAGAGCAGCCAGGACTTGAACCAGCACCCACATGGGATGCCCGCACTGCAGGCTGCAGCTTTTCCTGCTATGCCACAGCACCAGCACCATAAATTTAAGCGTTTAAGCTAAGCTTGTGTTTACTGTATATGTCAATAATCATGAAATGTTTGGGACGATACTGGTGGGCAGTGGCTCCCTCTAAAGAGAGAAGAAAGACTATCAAGAATCACATTGATGATGAAAAAAAAAACTTCCACACCTACTGTAAATCCTTCTGTAATGATTGCAACAAGCACATATGCATTTTACAATTCTCTGAAATTCAATGGTTTAATGTGTTTCCCAGCTCTGTGAACACAATGTATGTGTTAAGTGTGAAGATATAGAATAGAATACACGCATGTTTACATAGAATACACACAGGTATATAACACATCTATGAACGTGACGTAGGTATGGATTCATATGTCACATTGCTGCATGTGGTACGTATGTGAACATGATACACACAAAGGTGTTACCAAATTCTATGAAAATACATAAGACTGTTCCTGAAGTCTCAGATTCTACCTGGGAACTTCCTAAAACATTTTACATGCAATCAAAGGACTCTGACATTTTCCCAAAGTTGAGATGACACATAAATACTTTATGGAACCAACAAGCCTTCAACCAGTGCATGTTCTGACCTGAAAAGTCATTGGGAGGAAAATCCTCCATGTGACATTCTGTGTGGACAAACCACGGCCTGTGGATCAAGTTTTAAACAAATCCCAAATTCAGAACTGTAAGCCCTCGCTTGACAGACTTCTCCAAAGTGTCCAATTTGCCAACAAAGGTTTGTTTTGTATTTCAGTGTGTCTAAATTAAATTAGCAAACAACTTATTTAATTGAATAAAGGAATTCTGTGCCTTGGTAAATGGCCTACTAATTTAAATCCAATATTCAACATTTCCAGTGTTAACAGAATTGCAATAATCTTTACTGAATCATAGATTCTATTTTTGTAAAGATCTGTTTGTTTGTTTGTTTGTTTGTTTATGGGGGCAGGGGGAGGGGGAGCAGGAGAGAGAGATAAGGAGATCTCCCAAGCACCCACCGGTTCACTCCCCAAATGTCTACAACAGCCAGACAGAAGCCAAGAGCCAGGAACTCCATCCTTTTCTCACGTGGGTGGCAGAGGCCCAAGCACTTGGGCTGTTTCTGCTGCTTTCCCAGGCGCATTTGCAGGAAGCTAGATCAGAAGTGGAGCAGTCAAAACTTGAACCGATACGGGCTGCCGACATCGCAAGCTGCTGCTTACCCCACTGTGCCCAACACCAGGCGTGAAATACACACTCTGCATGGGTGCATTTTTGAATCTACACTTGTTACCAGGGGTGGGGAGGAGACAGAAAATGGGGGAAGTTGTCTGCGGCATAAAGTTGCCCCAGGACTTGAGCTGATGCCTATATGGGATGCCAGCACGGCAGGCAGGGGATTCACCTACTATGTCACAGCGATCAAATGTTTTTTAGGTTCATTTTTAAGAGGGGCCATGCTTAATCTCTAGACCCAACAAAACAGGTAGTGTGCTGCCTCGTCATCGCATGGGATCCCAGGGCGCGGAGCGGGATCTTACTGTCCCGTCTCTGGAACCCGTGGGGCCGCCTTCCCCCAGTGCACTGCCTCTCGTCTGCTCTCCCCGCAGGAGGACTACAACCAGCTGAGGCCGCTCTCCTACCCCAACACCGACGTGTTTCTGATCTGCTTCTCGGTCGTAAACCCCGCCTCCTACCAGAACGTCCAGGAAGAGTGGGTGCCGGAGCTGAAGGGCTGCATGCCCCACGTGCCTTACGTCCTCATAGGGACCCAGGTTGCAATGTGGACCGTGGTGGCGGGTGGCGGGGGCGGGTCTCCTACACCCACACCTCCTGTGGGCCCCACGCCACCGTGCACGCTATGCAGGGTCCCAGACAGCAACGCCACGGGTGGAACCTCTCAACGTGTGCACGACTGTTTAGCTCACAGGTGAAAAGGTGGTAGAGCCCTTTAACAGGAGGAAGGAAATTGGGTATGACCTTTAAAAATTAATCTCTCCGGTTTTTTTCCAAAAAATATATTTTTTAAAAAAATAGACGCCTCTCTGCAGTCTTGAATCAGAGTATAACGAGGCAAGAGTGTCAATTGCACATATTATGTAACATTTTTTATTATCTGAAGTCTAAAGTGCATGGGTGCTTCTGAATCACAAGATAGGCATGAGTGTCAAGAGGACTCCAGCCATCAGAACGGGCTATTAGAAGAGCTCCTTAACAATGCTTGTGCAGGAGGAGGAGAGAAATTCTCTTGTTCTCTTTACCCTGTGAACCCGTGGTCTTTCACACCAAAAAAAAAAAAAAAAAAAAAAAAAAATTCAGGCAGATATAACAGATAATCTTTTGTCCCACTGAAGGTGGAGATTTAATTTGGAAAAGAAAAAAGAAAAAAAAAATTAGTGCTCAGATCAGATCCAGGACCTAAGAAATCGCCTTATTTTTCAGACACAGCATGGGAGGGGGGAATCTCTAATGAAGTCACAGTTCCCAGTATCTGGAGAAGCTCGCAAGCTGAGTGCATCGCCTGCGTGCCTTTTTTTTTTTTTTTTTTTTTTTTTTTTTCCAGATTGATCTCCGCGATGACCCAAAAACCTTGGCGCGTTTGCTGTACATGAAGGAGAAACCACTCACCTACGAGCACGGCGTGAAGCTAGCCAAAGCGGTAGGGTGCGGTCGGCCTCGAATCCCCAGTGCACGCGGGCGTGGGGGCCAGGGTGGCGGCTGCCTCCCCGGCCGTGGGCCGCGTCGGGTTTCTGCAGCAAAGTGGGAGGCGCTTAGTTAGCCGGGTTTTCATTCGGAGGAAGACGCGGTGCACGCACACAGCCCGGGCCCTCGCCGTCTGGTGCAGCTGCCTGCAGCGCGTCCACCTGCCACGTGCAGTGAGTGGGGCTCAGAGCGAGTCACTGCACGCGGGCCCAGTCTCTCCGGGGACACTCGGGGCACTTCGTGGTTTTCCTGGGGGAGACTCAGCCCGCTATCTCTTCCCACGTGATGAAAGCCGCTTGGAGGGACTGCACTGTGGCACAGGCGACACCTGGAACAGCAGCACTGGCCGGGAATTCGCTAGCGGTGCAGAGACAGCGGCGGGCTGCGAGCCGGAACCCTCCGCATCGCCCGCCCCGACCCTGGCCACTTCACATCAGGGCGGCTTTTCACCAAATCGTTGCCTCCCCCACTCGCACTGGAAGGGAAGGCAGGTGCATGGAGATGCTTTGATTGGGCAGGAGGCGAGGGCCGCACAGTTCCATAACCTGGCCCATGCGGTCGCAAATCCACCAGCCCCGGCACAGGCTTGTTTTCTCTTTCTTAGCAACTAACACCGTAAAACGCATGTCCGTGCAGGAATTAGAAGTCACTCTCCTGGGGCTGAAGCTGTCGTAGCAGGTTAAGTCTCTGCCTGCAGCACCAGCATCCCATATAGACACACAAGTTCGAGTCCTGGCTGCTCCACTTCTAATCCAGCTCCCTGCTAATCTGCCTAGGAAAGCAGTGAACATGGCCTAAGTCCTTGGTACCCTACACCCACGTGGGAGTCCCAGAGGAAGCTCCTGGCTTCAGAGATCCTGCCTTTGTGGCCATTTGGGGAGTGAACCAGCATCCCATGCAGTTTAATCCACCATTCCGTAATAACAGCCCTGGCCTTTTGTTAAATGAACTACAAATTCTTTTCAAACAAAAACATATGCACTTCTTTTTATTACAACTTGCTTATCAGCTCCAAAGCTAAGTACGAGGGATCTTCAAAAAGATCATGGGAAATATATGATGTGGAAGAAATATTCCAGGACTTCTCCCCGACCCCACCCCACCCCCACATACAGAGGAAGGCATTTAGCCTGTTAGTTAAGATGGCCACATCCTACATCAAAAGTCCTTGAGTTCAGATCCTGACACCAGCTTCCTGCTAATGCAGACCCTGGGGGCAGCTGGTTATGACTCAAGTAATTGGATTTGGGCTGCCTACATGGGAAGCTTGGATTGACTTCTCAGCTCCCAGGTGTAGCCACACCAGCACTGGGCTGTTGTGGGCATTTGTCATGTGAGTTTTCAGATGGCACTGCGCTGGCGCGCTCTCTCTCTCTCTTCCTCTGTCTCTGTCTGTCTCTGTGTGTGTGTGTGTGTGTGTGTGTGTGTGTGTGTGTCCCGCTCAAAGAAAGCTTTTTATTCCATTTCCATGAACTTCTTTAAGTACTCACGTATGATACACTTAACTAGAAATGAATTGAAGAAGATTATAGAGCCAGTACTGTGGCTTAGTAAGTTAGGCCACCACCTGTGACTCCGGTATCTCATATGGGCGCTGGTTCAAGTCCTTGCTGCTCCACTTCCGATCCAGCTTCCTGCTAATGCACCTGGGAAAGCAGCAGAAGATGGCCCAAGTCCTTAGGCCCCTGCACACATGTGAGAGACTTAGAGGAAGTTGCTGGCTCCTGGCTTTGTCCTGGCTCAGCCCTGGTCATTGCAGCCAATTGGGAAGTGAACTAGCAGATGGAAGATAATTCTCTCTCTCTTTCTCTCTCTGTCTTCTGTCTCCCTTTCCTTCCCTCCCTTCCTCCCTCCTTGTCTCCCTGTCTCTATAACTCAAGTAAATAAATAAATCTTTAAAATAAATAAATAGGAGGCCCACATCCCACATTGGAGCGTCTGGGTTCGAGACCAGGCTCGGCTCCCTATGCCAGTTTCCTGCTAACTCATACCCCCAGGAAGCAGCAGGTGACGGGTCAAGTCCTGGAGTCCCTGCCACCCACACAGGTGAACCAGACTGAGTTGATAGCTCCTGACTCCAGCCTGGCCCAGATCCAGCTGTTGTGGGCACTTGGGGTGTGAATCAATAGGTATAACCCACCTCTCTCCCCCCCTTCTCTGTTTCTCAAATGCATTTAAAAAACAATACATAAGTAAATAAAAACGTTTGGCTCTCATTTAGTGCATGCACACGTGGTCCAGAAACACCCACATGCAATTCGCAGCCGTGCCATTCTCCACACCCAGGAGGAGGTCCCCACGGGCTGAGCCCTGCTGTTTGCAGGAGCCTGGTTTCTGCGGCCCTTGCCGCTCACCTGTCTCCACCTCTGTCCTTTCTGCTTCCTAGCCTCACTTCTCTTAGGAATGTGAGTTTGTTTATTTATTTATTTGCCCCCTCTGAAAAGAAGTCATTGCAAAGCCTCCCATCTCATTGCAGGCTTATCCCAAGCAACAATGGCTGAGTTCACCTCTTTCCCGCTTCTTGCCTGTTTCTCCTAGCAACTGTCCTCGGACGCAGAGAGAATCATGTTTAGCTTACAGAATCCAATTTAGAAGAAAGCCGCCCACGTTGTTAACTTGCTTCGTCACCACCCGTGTAATGACAGGGATGCTGTGAGAGTCTCCTCTTGGGCCCTTCTGCCGAGGAGTGGTTCACAGTAAGAGCGTTTAGGGGGTGTTCACGACGCACTGGGCTGGGCGCCAGGCACTCTGCTTTGCTGTCTGTCTTCGTCTCCCAGCAGCCCTGGAGGGGTGCGTGTGTGTGTGTGTGTTATCAGCTCCCCTTTCCTAGGGCAACATCACGGCCACACAGGTAGGAAGTGGCAGCGCTGCCCGGAAACTGTGCTTCCCCGCCCACCCCCGCCATGCTCCTCTGCCTCCCTCCTATAATCCGAAAAGACCCCCCTTCAGCTTGGGCGTCTCTTTTCCATACTGACTTTCTGTACTTTATCGCACATACCAGGAGGCTGCAAAGAGCTTATGGGAAATGGAATGAAAAGATAAGTTTATTCGAGTGCAAATATTGTTCTGAAGTCCATGCAATGTTTGCATAATATGCACTTTTCATGAATATTTGAAAGACCCCCAAGTATGTAAGTTTCAAAAATTCTTTCAAAAAATTATCTTTGAATTCCTTTTCTCATAAACTTCTTGAAGTACCCACATAGTCTTCCCAAAACTTAAATCCTTGGAGCCCCTGGTCCCAGCTTCCTGCTAGGAGGCAGTAAATGATGGCCCAAGTGCTTGGGTCCCAGGAGAGTGCTTACAACTCTGGCTCAGGACACAGAGCCTCAGCTCTGCCATTCTCTTAGCTGTGTGGCTGCAGCAAGGTTACTAAACCTCTCTGGGCAGTAGTTTCCCTGAGCCAAAAAAGGAGGATGGTGACAGGCTCAACTCAGTAACTTTTGGGATTTTTTTTTTTTGAGAGGCAGAGCAACAGAGAGAAAGAAAGAGATCTTGCATCTGTCAATTCGTTCCCCAAATGGCCGCAACAACCAAGGCTGGGCCATCCCAAAGCCAGGAGCCTGAAACTCCATCTGGGTCTCCCTCATGGGTGGCAGGGGCCCAAGCACTTCCCAGGCGCATTGGCAGGGAGCTGCATCACAGACTGAGCAGCAGCTGGGACTCGAACTGGCGCCCACCCGGGATGCCGGTGTTGCAAGCTCAGGCTTAACGTCCTGTGCCACACCACCAGGCCCACCTTTGAGAAGTCCTGAGATGCTGACATGAGATCCCGCAGCACAAGGTACAGCCTAGCAAATGAGCGATGCTGCTCCACGCCCGAGCCCACCGATGCCTGGGGACAGCCGGGGGCCCCTCTGCCTGTACCCCTGCCGCTGTGTGTCTAACTCTATGACAAGCCAGAAGAAGTGCAAGGTTTTCTTCCACTTGGTTAGTTACTGTGGGTTGGCTGGTTGGTTGGTTGTTAATTTCTTCTTGTCAAACTTGTGTTTTCTGTAGATCTCTGAGAAATTCCCCGTGTTTTGAGCCAATACCTTTTTGCAATCAGAAAAGTGCTCTCTGGGTACAACCTCAGGCTCTCCTTTCTTCTTGAAAATCAGTCATTAGGTACAGGGTGCTGCAGGGACCCCCTAGTCCTGAGCTCCCATACATGCGTTCTACACATTCTGCAAGTTTCTTTGCTCCAAAAAGCAGAAGTCATTTGTGTAAGAGGAAGAAGACAGTTTTCCATTGCACATCTCTCAGGGCCCACGTGCTAGCTTTCAGCAATCTCTCTAACGAACGTGGCCGCGCCTTTTCCCCAAACCAGGACGGATTTTTCACTCTGAGGCACAGAGCACTCCAGGTCTGGTCATCAGACTCACCGCATAACAGAGCACTGTTTCTCGCACCTGTTTCCCAAATCACACCCAAAATCTGCTGGCCACTTTTTCTGGAACTCTCTCTATAACGTGAGGTTACGTTAACCCAGTTACACAATCATGCCTTTATTTGCTATTGCATTCTCTTCAAAACTTCTGGGACTGGGAGAGACAAGTTTGGGCTCCTCCTGCACCATCAGAAGGTGAACTCTGACTTGCTGAGGGCAGGACAGGTGTGGGGAGGGGGGTGTCCCAGCCAGTTTGCAGCTCAGCCAAGCACTCCAGGGATTTCTAGACTGACCCCGAGGCTGACGGTGGTTGTGGGGAGGTATTCTAGACAGAACAGCCCACCGCATTTTCTAGATGTTTCTCAGTGTGACTAGTAAGCCAGTGCATGACAAGTAGCCATTCAGTTGGCACATTCGCTAGGTTAGTGTGTTTATTTTTATGTGTATTTATTGGAGAGGCAGAGAGACAGAGGTAAGGGGCTCCCATTCACTAGATCTCTCCCCCAAATACCCACAATAGTCAGGGCTGGGCCAGGTCAAAGCAGGGAGCCAGGAACTCAAACCAGGTCTCCTTGGGGTGGGGGTGCAGGGTGGCAGGGACACAACTACTTGAGCCATAACCATTGCTTCCCAGGGTCTGCATTAGTAGGAAGCTAGAATCCAGAGCAAACCTGGGACTCAAACACAAATATTCCAATGTGGGACATGGATGTCCCGGCAGCATCCAAGATGCCAGGCCAAATGCCCGCCCTGGACGAGTCTGCTTCCCAGATGTGTTCGCATCGGGCATGGGCACAAACCCAAAAGGCAACGCTTCGTGACATTATTAGCAACAGTACTCCTCCACCATATCTGCTTTTAACTTTTTAAGGTTATTTCCTAATCTAAAGGCCAAACAATGGTCAAAATGAAAGCCGTACCACAGGTTTGCATCATCCACCGATGGTTCTGACCCTCAGATTTGCCTTTGGTTCATGCAGCAGGTGCTCTCAGCAGCTTAAAACAAAGGGAGTGTGGCGGGGGCGGGGGGCATCATGTCTGTTGGAGAAGTTAAGAAATCATTTCCGGCCCCAGCTTTATGTCATGCTCGGTTTTCATGTCAGTGGCCTTTCAAACAAGTGGACAGCCTCATTTCACTGTCCACTTGACCAGCTTCGTGCAGAGCTATTAGGAGCATAGGTACTGTGGTGAAACAAGGAAAAAGAACACGCATCAGGAGACCCAGACTCCGGGGCTACGTCTTCCCCTGGCTGGGTCCTGCCTTTCCACGATTAATTTGACCTTTCTCAGGCCACTCCCACTTGATTCTAAGCTGAAATGCAACCTGCTTTACTGCACACATTGTAAATGGGCTGGCTGGCTGCGGTCATATATTCCCTCAGGTGTCTTGCTTGACAGGATTTTTTTTTATTTATTTATTTATTTGAAAGTCAGAGTTACACAAAGAGAAGAGAGGTAGAGAGAGAGAGAGGTCTTCCATCCACTGGTTCACTCCCCAGTTGGCCGCAATGGTTGGAGCTGCACCGATGCAAAGCCAGGAGCTTCTTCCGGGTCTCCCACATGGGTGCAGGGGCCCAAGGACTTGGGCCATCTTCTACTGCTTTCCCAGGCCATAGCAGAGAGCTGAATCGGAAGTGGAATAGCTGGACCTAGAACCGGTGCCCATTATGGGATGCTGGCACTGCAGGCCAGGGTGTTAACCCACTGCATCACAGCCCCGGCCCAGAAAAGATGTCTTAAATATTGGAAAATATTCAGTAAGAATCCAAATTTCCTATTCCTCTTGATATGGACAACAGTGAATCACCATTCCCACAAGGAAGCTGAGTAAGATGGCTCACTCTGGAGGGGGCATTCTCCTACAGTCTCCACCCCGCCCTCCTGTCTCACACAAACCCCGCTGCCTCATTTGCATAAGCTACCGGCCACGACAGGTGGACGATTTTGCTGTCCTATTTTCAGACATTAAAAGCTGTCTCCAGAAGCTCTCCCACCCAGCCAACTTCTCCCGAATCAGCTTTAATTTCTCAAAGTCCTCCTTAGAACATGAGATGCAAGGACAAATATGGCTTCAGGTGCCTTTATTTTGAAAAGGCGGCCCATATCCTATTGTTGAATCATACTGAGCTAGTGAGCTATTAAAACCCCTGGTCTCTTTCACAGTAAGTGACAAGTCTACATAGCCTGAGATTTTTTTTTTAATGAGGATCTACAGGGCTGGCCTGAATTTCTGTGTTTTTCACAGAGATGTGACTATCAAATACACAGTATACCATCATCAAAAGCTTTGAAATAAAAGTATAAAATATTGTGTCACTTAAACACACAGACTGTACACTAAGGAGGATTTCTCTGTCACGAAGGTATAGTGTAATTTTTATTTTTACAAGTTCAGGGTTTTTTTTTTTTTTAATTTCTCGCCTTTCACAGTATGGAAACGCTGAATAATTGCACCGATTAAGGATCTTGTAAGAGGTACCTTTTATAAGAATGACCTCTAAGACCACACCACCGCCCTCTGTAGGCTTGGCCAGCCTAGGGCACCCTGGGCACACAGAAGAACATACACTCCACTGGCACTGACTTTCCCATTATGCATGCAAACGAGAGGACACTAAAAACAACTTCAGGCGGCTCTATTGCTTAGAAAATGCGTTTCGTCCATATCACTGATGCTGCGTCCTCTCCTGATGCTCTGTATTTGTGTGGTTTTTACAGTCTTACATTAAGCATAAATGTTTGTGGCTCATTTTCAGAAGGCACCACCTACCAAAAGTGATCCACAACCGTTCATTTCTAAGATCAAAATGTAAAAATTAAAAATTACTCAAACGTGAGGTTGGCAGACACAAATTGAGATGCAAAAGAGGAACCAGAGTTCAAAGTGGCCCCTAGGCTGTTTGCAGGACAGAGAGGAGGGAGGATCTGAGTAGGCAGAGGGCTGCCCCTCTCTCATACTCTCTCTCTCTCTCTCTCATACTCTCTCTCTCTCTCTCTCATACTCTCTCTCTCTCTCATACTCGTCTCTCTTCTTCGTTTCAGATCGGAGCGCAGTGCTACTTGGAGTGCTCGGCCCTGACGCAGAAGGGTCTCAAAGCCGTTTTCGACGAAGCGATCCTCACCATTTTCCACCCCAAGAAAAAGAAGAAACGCTGCTCGGAGTGCCACGGCTGCTGCTCCATTGTCTGAGGAGGCTGAGGACCCACCGAAGGGTGAGAAAGGCGGCCAGTCTCCGGGACCCGGTCCCGCCGGACAGGACTGCGCGACCAGAAAGGAATCCCCATCCCCCACCCACCCGAGAGCCCGCCCAGGCACAGTGTCCCGCCCACCGCCACGTCCGCCCTGCAGCCCGCAGCCTCCACTGCACACTCTATGAGAATGCGGAGCCGGCTTCTGACCGTGCACCCCCTGAACATGCTGGAAACAAAGTGGGAGGCCACCTTGCATTTCACGTCTCTTCCCCCCAAGAGCATGAAGCCAGCCGGAAGTTCCTCCCTTGAGCCTGGGGCAAGCCGGAAGTGCCTCCCATGAGCATGAGGCCTACCGGAAGTTCCTCCCATGAGTCTGGGGCCAGCCGGAAGTCCTTCCCATGAGCCTGAGGCCTACCGGAAGTTCCTCCCATGAGTCTGGGGCCTGCCGGAAGGAAATCACAGGAAAACCAAAACTGCGTTCCACCATTCGGTGGCCTTTAGTTGATGCCTTTGACAAAATATGGGAATACGATACGTACTAACCTCTTTTTTCTAAATCTGCTGTTATACTCACGTGTCTTATATTCGTTTATATTATCCCAGAAATATCCTAAATTCCAGTTGACTCAGGCCTTACAAATCCATACCAAAGTAGCCTAAAGATACAGCATTTTATATTCACGTAGTTTCACGGTGTTGCTACCAAAGCTGTCAGAACCAGCGTGTACCTCGGAATGGCTGTGTACAAGAAGACATGGGAAAATTTTGAAATTTTTGCAAACTTACAGAGCCTTGATCTCTGAATCTGGTTGAAAAAAAAAAACACCAGCTGAGTTGTTGGCAGGCCCACACACATTCTTGCCAACGATTCACCCTACAAGTGCTTAAGTTGGTAGGTAGTCTGAGCTTTTTCATCTACTATTGCCATGGCAAACAAAAAAATATGAATTGTGCTTAAGAAAGTAGTATTTCTGCATTTCATCAAAATTGGAAGAATATGGCAGGACTCATCATTTAAAATATTCTTTGTTCAGTAAAGTAGACATTTCTGCTCCCTCTCCTCCCTATTGTAGCCCTGTTCCTCCCATGATGTTAATCTTTCTCCCATGCCTACCCCACCCTTCATTATTCCCAGTCATAACCTGAACTGGCCATTGGCAAGAAAAAAATCAAGAGTTAAAAAAAAAAAAAACTCAAGCAAAGTGCCTCAGCTTCCCTGCCCACTTTCAACTTGCCCTGTGTAGTTCCCATTCCACCAAATGGCATTTTCCAGTTACAGTCAGAAAACTGTACAATTATTGTCCCCCATCTTTCCTTATTCATCCTCCCAAAAGTCTAGTTAGGGACTAGATTTGTGAGTGCCAAGCCCTGGATCCGTTTCCAGAATAATCTGCCACGAAAAGCAGGAACTTTGACCTTGAGAAGGTCAATGCTCCCAGTAAGGAGTCGTGAGCCCTTTCCATGTGACAACTGCAAACACCCAGGAATTCTTGTGTCATAAGTGAGTCACTTCCTACTCTTATATTAGAAGCCATAATCATTCATATTTGCTTATCACCTGGTTATATACTTAATCATTATTTTAATTGTATAAGCAGAGTGGATCTTTACATGTAAAATTACACCAATCCTAGTCGAAGACTTTCCGGATTCGAGCTCCCTCTGTTGGAGGGGAGGGGGCACAAAACTCCTCTTCCTTCTGCTCCTAGAAGAAGCACATAGAAAGGAAATGTATGGTGTGGGGGGTCTTTCCCATTAAGACCTTCCAGAACACTCTGTCAGTTTTAGGGGTTTTTGTTTGTGTGTTTGCTTAGAATTTCTAAAATGTGTTTTCCCTTTTTTCACATTTCAAGTACTAGTTCCCATCTCATCTAATTGCTAACACACACATACACACACACACACACACATCCCTAAAGCAAACGGGAGTTTTGTAAGCCAAAGCTTGACATTTAGAGAAAACAAGGACCTTCTGCCTTAGTAAATGGGAATCAACTGTGTATGAACTATAGCTCTGCAAAGGCTATGATTTCATCCTTTACAAACAATAATGAGCATTTAGCCCTGTAATAAAGGAAGTGTGTCAGCCAGTTTTGTTACATTATTGCATAGTTACTTGCTAAGGGGCCGCTCCTCACTTCTCACTGACTCTAATGAAGAATTGAGAGCAACATGTTTGTTCTGCCAAGGAGAATTTTCCAGATGTGTGCACTTCACAGGCAAATAGCTCCGCAGGTCATCTCCTCCCTAACGGGCCATGGGGATTAACTTGTTCACAGTGGGGCAATCACTCCCTCAACTAGAAGCAGAATGTGGCTGGAGATTTTCAGTGTCTGGGGAGAGCACAGGCTCCAAGAGGTCTTATGAGTGGATTACCCAGTAAAATCATGTACAACAAAGCAACCTACGTGACTTAATGTCATTCCACCAAATTCATCATATAGTCCCTGCTTCATGGCAATGCCTAGCTCAGTTCACGAAAAAGTGCTTTCTACCCTAAGAGTGAATAAAGCTAAAGCTATGTCTGAAACCAAAGATACAGGAAGAGACCCAGAAATCTGAAGAAGGTCCACATCATTTTCCAAAGTCAACAAGTGGCAGCTATCTCTGTTTGAGAAAACAGTCTTGACTTTACAGAGTTTAAAAAAAAAAAAAAGGCCTCAGAAATGACAATCCAATTTCTCCATGTACAGAGGAGAGACTCAGGCCTGGAGAGATGTGTTGTGCAGGAGTAAGATGTATCTTGGCTTTTCTGCTTCCCATCCAATGCCTGTCAACTCAATACAGCCAGTTATCATTACCACACATATTAAGTTGGAGTTTTCCTAGACAAACCATAGGAATTGCATGTGCTTATTCAATAGATAATAGATTCCAGCTACATTTCAGACACAAAACTTTATATAGTTAGACCACTATAAACAAGGTAATCCATCAAACTACGAGTGAGCTAGAGACAAGAATTTTATCTATGGGCTAATATGCCTGGAATACAGCAATGAAATCCCAACCTAATGGCTTGTTCAAATGGCTAGCTTGAAAGAGATCTTTTCACTCCACTGTTTGTAGAATTAACAGATGTTGGGAACACAAAAGGACTAAGCTCCAAGTCAATGCCATATCCACAGTAAGAAAATTGGCCTGATTTCTACCAAAAAAAATTACATTCAAAGCACAAATGCGGAAGTCAAAAACTCCAGCAATCCTAAACCAGGAAGGGCTAAGATGAGAAGTCACACGCAAATGAGAGGAAGAAGAGCTTGGTCCTAAGCCTTCAATGACAATATATCCAATCATGATATGCAAAGAATCATCTGGAGGGTTTCTAGTTCATAAGAAAAGTAACAAATGATGCACTTATAACCAGATGCAATTTTCACAAAAATACCCGTAAGGAAATAGTGTTAAAATGGAAGTCGGAGAGCAGTCACAATTGGATTCCTAGTTTTAGGAGAAAATCAAAGAAGCTAAATCCAGAATTGGAAGCCAACAAACATGTCGTTATTTAGGGTGTAAGCGTGTAGGCGCAGCAACCCCGAAAGGTAGAGCGTCTTCAGGAAGAAATATTTGACTTGAGAGAAGACCCTCAAGGTGCCGTATTACGTTCATCAAAGCAAAACCAAAGTAATGAAAGCCTAGAACTTCAAGCTCTGCTTTAGAAGAAGGTCCGACACAGTGCTGGAGAGTAGGATCTAGCCAGTTATTGTGGGTTTTTAAATCCATCCCCGTGTTTCGCTGCCAGAAGCCAGAAAGAGAACCACTCCAAGGGAGTTGCTAACTCCTGCCTGGCCCCCAGCGGCTCTGGGGGGAAAGGATGGTTTTGTATAGAGTGCTCCAGGGTCAGCAGGGCCAGGGTCGTGATAAAACCACCTCTGGATTCCCTACAAATGAGTGGAGCTCTGCTCAATGCTTTTTGGATCCTTAATGGCAGTGAGGGGCCTACCTCTCCGACGTTCTCTGCCTTTGGGAGGGTATTTGTAAAAGTTCATGGGAAATGGAATTAAAAAATAAATTTATTTTGGCACAGAAAAAATCTTGAAATCCATGCATAGTGTTTTCTTTTTTTTTAAGATTTTCATTTATGTATTTGAGAGGTAGAGTTACAGACGATGAGAGGGAGAGACAGAGAGAATGGTCTTCCATCCATTGCTTCATTCCCCAGATGGCCACAACAGCTGGAGCTGCACCTATCTGAAGCCAGGAGCCAGGAGCTTCCTCCAGGTCTCCCACAAGGGTGCAGGGGTCCAAGAATTTGGGCCATCTTCTACTGCTTTCCCAGGCCATAGCAGAGAGCTGGATCAAAAGTGGAGCAGCTGGGACTTGAACCAGCACCCATATGAGATGCCAGCACTGAGTCAGCGGCTTTATCCACTATGCCACAGCACTGGCCCCAGCTAATAACTTATATGAATGATATTTCTTCACCTTCAGTGGGAAATTTCTGAATAACATAAATAACATTTTAAAAGCACAACCACAATAACAAAACAGCCAGAGCAGTCCTTGACTTTGAAATTCCACTGCAGGAATTTGGAGCCTTGGTCATATGACTCCTGCTCACAGCCTATTTGGTTTCTTTTTCAGGGATCTTATGCCGATGCAAGGGTTGCTTTGGTGGTGCGTGTGTGTGTTTCATACAAGCTCTACCCTGTTGGTTTCACCCTGGTCTGTGAGTTCTCCCATGGCTCACAAGTTTCCTGATAACTATGCAAGATCAGCAATAATTTCATGGAAAATGTATATTGTGGGGAAAAAAAAAAAAACTATGCGTGCATTTCCACAACTTTTTTGCACCAAAATAAACCCAGCTCCTGATCCTGTTTTTTCCATGATGAATCTCTGCCGTACTCTCTTAAAGATGGAGGAATTTTGGTGTTTTTTTGTTTTTGTTTTGGTTTTGGTTTTTGTTTGTTTGTTTGTTTGTTTGACAGGCAGAGTGGACAGTGAGAGAGAGAGACAGAGAGAAAGGTCTTCCTTTTGCCGTTGGTTCACCCTCCAATGGCCGCCGCGGCCGGCACGCTGCAGCCGGCGCACTGCGCCAATCCGAAGGCAAGAGCCAGGTACTTATCCTGGTCTCCCATGGGGTGCAGGGCCCAAGCACCTGGGCCATCCTCCACTGCACTCCCGGGCCACAGCAGAGAGCTGGCCTGGAAGAGGGGCAAGCGGGACAGAATCCGGCGCCCCGATTGGGACTAGAACCCGGTGTGCCGGCACCGCAAGGCGGAGGATTAGCCTAGTGAGCCGCGGCACCAGCCTTTGTTGTATTTTTTTGGCAGGTGCTCCAAGCCCGCCTCCACAGGTGGCTGTCTTGGCTGAACAGGATCTGATTGATGTTACAGGGATGTGATGTCTGGAGTGCTATGTAGAGAGGGCTCCAGGGCCCAAACCTGAGTCTCACCCTGAAGCAACCTTGGCACCCTTAGCCTCCCAGTGGCTGCACACTGCTGCCTCCCAGGTCTGCATTAGCAGGAAGCTGTATCAGGAATGGAGCTGGGATTTGGACCGAGGCACTCTGAAGTGGGACGCAGGCATCCCAACCAGTTGCTTAATCAATGTGTCAAACAGACTCATCCTACAGTTTTTTTTAACAGGCAGAGTTAGACAGTGAGAGACAGAGAAAGGTCTTCCTTTTCGTTGGTTCACCCCCCTTAATGGCCACTACAGCTGGCACGCTGCGCCAATCTGAAGCCAGGAGCCAGGTGCTTCCTCCTGGTCTCCCATGGGGTGCAGGGCCCAAACACCTGGTCCATCCTCCACTGCCTTCCTGGGCCACAGCAGAGAGCTGGCCTGTAAGAGGGGCAACCGAGACAGAATCCAGCACTCCAACTGGGACTAGAACCCGGTGTGCCGGCGCCACAGGCGGAGGATTAGCCAAGTGAGCCACGGCGCCGGCCTCATCCTACAATTTTTTATAGATGTTTATTTGAAAGGTAGAATGACAGAGAAGAGAAGGCACAGAGAGAGAGAGAGAGATCTTTCATCTGCCAATTCACTCCCCAAAAGGCCACATGGTGGGACTGGGCCCAGGTTGAAGCCAGGAACCTGGAATTCCGTCTGGGTCTCCCACATGGCTGGCAGGGGCCCAGCACTCGGACCATCCTCTGCGGCTTTACCAGGTGCATTAGCAGGGAACTAGGTTTGAAGCAGAGCAGCTGTGAAGCAAAATCATTGCTGTGACTGGGGATGCCAGCATCACACGTGGCGGCCTAACCCTCTGAGCCACAATGCACGCAATTTTTTAAGCCAGTTTTTAAGCAATCAGAGAGTTTTCTCCTAGAAGAACCACAAGCAGGAAAGTTAATGAATTCTTCACCCCTCACCTGGCTTCAGTTGTGTCTTCACTCTGAGCACACAGTACTCACCAGCAGAGCACACTCGGCAGAATTGTGTCCCAGCAGAGACAGCTCCCGTTACGACCGAACCTGCACATAACTGATCAATCAGAATCTGCATTTTTTAAAGATTTATTTATTTATTTGAAAGTCAGAGTTACACAGAGAGAGGAGAGGCAGTGAGAGAGAGAGAGAGAGGTCTTCCATCCAATGGTTCACTCCCCAATTGGCTGCAACGGCCAGAACTGTGCCGATCTGAAGCCAGGAGCCAGGAGCCAGGAGCTTCTACTGGGTCTCCCATGCGGGTGCAGGGGCCCAAGGACTTGGGCCATCTTCTACTGCTTTCCCAGGCCATAGAAAGAACTGGATCAGAAGTGGAGCAGTCAGGACTTGAACTGGCGCCCATATGGGATGCTGGCGCTTCAGGCCAGAGCGTTAACCCACTGTGCCACAGTGCCGGCCCCCAGAATCTGCATTTTAACAAGACCCCCAAGTGATGTTAAATTTGGGGAAAGGCCGGCGCTGTGGCTCACTAGGCTAATCCTCCACTTTGCGGCGCTGGCACAGCGGGTTCTAGTCCCGGCCGGGGCGCCGGATTCTGTCCCGCTTGCCCCTCTTCCAGGCCAGCTCTCTGCTGTGGCCAGGGAGTGCAGTGGAGGATGGCCCAAGTCCTTGGTCCCTGCACCCGCATGGGAGACCAGGAGAAGCACCTGGTTCCTGCCTTCGGATCAGCGCAATGCGCCAGCCGCAGCGCGCCAGTCGCGGCGGCCATTGGAGGGTGAACCAATGGCAAAAAGGAAGGCCTTTCTCTCTGTCTCTCTCTCTCACACTGTCCACTCTGCCTGTCAAAAAAAAAAGGGGGGGAGGGGGGGAACTGGTCTAAGAGATAACCAAATTCACCATAGACTTAATATCTGAACATACAGGGATACTGCAAAAAGTTCATGGAAAAACCAGCATTATTGGGGCAGACATTTGGCCCAGCAGTTAGTGTACCAATTAGGACATTGGCATGTTCAAGTTCAATCCCGGGGTCCATTCCCAATGCCAGCTTTCTGCTCATGCAGACCCGGGGAGCAAGCAATGAAGTCAAGGAATTGGATTCCCACCTCCCATGTGGGAGACCTGGATTGCATTCCAGCTCTTCGTTGAGCTCCAGCCCAGCCCCAGACATTCAGGGCCTTTGGGGGGGTGAACCAAAGATGGGAAAGCTCGCTCACTCTCTCTCTCTCTCTTTCTCCAATTAGTTATTTTTTTGAAACATGAATTTATTTTAATGCAAAAAAGTCGATTATCCATGCACAAATTTTTCCCAATATGCATTTTTTATCAACTTTTTGAAGATACCTTGTATGCATGGACTTCCACAGAAGTTTTGCATCAAAATAACTGACTTTTTCTTTCTATTTTCCACGTACTTTTTGAAGGATCGCTATCTGGTTGCCTGATGAAAAAAACATCAGATGGCACCTGTCCCTCGGATGCCACCCGTGGGCTAACATTCGTGTCCCCCTCACTTCCTGACGGAGTAGAATAGGATCCTTTTCTTTTTTATATGTGCTACCCAGCCTCAGTAGAGAAAACTGCATGTTTTGCAATCAAAAGCAGAAGAGCCGCATCCAGTCTGAAAGTTCTAAGTCTAAAGTATCTCTGCTTTGGAAGCCTTCCTGGTGTTTCTCCAGATTGCTTCCTTGACAACATAAGAAAGATTCATATCACACAAAGCGATGGGTTTGTAAAATGAAAATAAATTTCCGAAGCACGGGGCCGGCACTGTAAAGCAGGTAAAGCCGTCACCTGCAGTGCCAGCATCCCATATGGACACTGGTTCGAGTCTTGGCTGCTGCACTTCCAACCCAGCTCTCTGCTGTGGCCTGGGAAAGCAGTGGAAGATGGCCCAAGTCCTTGGGCCCCTGCACCCACATGGGAGATCCAGAGGAAGCTCCTGACTCCTGGCTCCTGGCTTTGGATTGGTTCAGCTCCTTCTCTCTCTATGTAACCCTGAATTTCAAATTAATAAATAAATCTTTTTAAAAATTTTGAAAGCCTAAAACTTCCAACGAAGCTTGCATCTTCAGTGCTTAGGACCTGGTGCTCCCACTAGCAGGAGGACTGAGTGCACCAGACTCATTCCATGCACTCATATCTTCACCCCCAAATGGCCACTATGGCCAGCGCGCTGCACTGATCCAAAGCCAGGAGCCAGGTGCTTCCTCCTGGTATCCCATGTGGGTTCAGGGCCCAAGCACCTGGGCCATCCTCCACTGCCCTCCCGAGCCACAGCAGAGAGCTGGATTGGAAGAGGAGCAACCGGGACAGAATCCGGTGCCCCAACAGGGACTAGAACCCGGGGTGCTGGCGCCGCAGGTGGAGGATTAGCCAAGTAAGCTGTGGCACCAGCCATCTGGTATGATTTTTTTTTAAGATTTTATTTATTTATTTATTTGAGAGGTAGAGTTACAGAGAGAGAGAGAGACAGAAAGGTCTTCCATCTGCAGGTTCACTTCTCAAATGACCATGTTTGGAACTGGGCCAATCTGAAGTCAGGAGCCAGGAGCTTCTTCTGAGTCTACTACATGAGTGCAGGGGCCCAAGTGTTTGGGCCATCTTCTACTGCTTTCCCAGGCAATAACAGAAAGCTGGATCGGAAGAGGAGCAGCCGGGACTTAAACCGGTGCCCATATGGGATGCCAGCACCACA